ACCTATTCCCTATACCCAACATTCTGCCTCCTGTATCTGTGGCATTGCATAAATGGTCTCTTGTGTCTCGAAGAGGCTCATTTCTCATCTCATCTCAGCAGCATCCCAAGTACAGTTTTGATGTCACTTTCTACCTGAAGCCTTTCTTCAAATCCCTCCCTGCTTATTAGTATTCTCTTCCTCCTGAAATTACTTTGTATTGCTTACTTACCGGTTATAACCTGCTTTGTAAAAGTATGCAACTTGAAGGAAACTGTTTCATTTTTGTCTTTGTATTTCCTGTACATAGTAGACACTTGCTTAATAAACTGAACTGCTTTACATCTAATGTCATCTATTAAGGGCCAACAAATTTACAATTGTGATGTCCCTAATTTAGAATTATACCAATATAAACAGGAAACCTCATAAGAAGAATATGCAATCTGACATAAACACTATTTCCAGGAAAATGTTTACCAACCCCAAAAGCATTTTATTAAGCACTCACTAACTTGCAAGAGGCTTACTTTTACTCTCCTGGGAATATACAATATGCAAAAAACTAAGTATATACATGATTATTTAAGTACATTATCAACTAGAGCAGGGCTTCTCAAACTTTTTCCACTTGTGACCCCTCAGCATTTCATAACCCACAGTTTACGCTGTACTAGAGGAATCTAGAAACACTTTCCATAGGAAACGATAAGTGAATTTAAAGGAAGTCGGGAACTCTAAGGGGTGGAGGTGAAAATGAAGCACATTTCAGATACAGGTGCCAGTCTGTTCAAGGGCCAATAAAAAAGGAGATGGGATATAGAATTCTAGGACCAGAAAGTAAGCCAATTTGGTTGGAACATAGCATGCATGTGAAATAAGCCAAGAGAGGTATGCTAAAAAGCTGGAAGGCAGAGACTTTAAATGTCCTACTGAGAAGTTTGTGTTTTACCCTAGTAGCAACTGGGAGTCATGGAAAGTTCCTAAGAAGAATGACATAGTTAGACTTACCTTTTAGAAATATTTGGTAGTCAAAGGCAGCCTAGATTGGAAAGGAGAGAAACCAGAGGCAGGAAGACCATTAGAAGACTACTTCAATAGTCTAGATAAGAGGTATTGTTGAGAGCCTTAAACAGGTAGTGGCTGTACAGACAGAATATACATGACTGACTGAATGGGGAAAGAGGTGTTAATGAGAGCAAAGGTAGTGAATAATAGCAAAGTTAAAAGAACTCTATCGCTTTCAAGAGCTTTGGAAGCATGTTAATGCATATAATCTAATTACAATGTAAAGATTAGTAGTATTTATGGTACTGCTTTTGATACTTATAAATTATTCTTCATTCATTAAAATAGGATATTTCCCATACAGTGTTCAATTAGCAGTTCAATTAATTTGATTAAAAATAAAAATTTTTAAATGTTCTAATTTAGACATGACCCAAAGCAAAATCATTTATAATGTGTGCTATTTACACTGAAGTGACAGACAATATGTAAAAGCTTTAAAAAGCCACCCATATAAAAGTTATTTTTCATCCTGTACTATGTATGTGTTAAAAATTTTAATTAGGATAGAGAACTGAACCTCTGACACTTACTGAATAGAAGATTCTGGGCAAGTCACTTAACCTCTCAGTGCTGTCAGGCAACTCACTAACAAGACACTTAAGTCACAGAAAAAGTTTCTGACAGGAGCTCCCAAAGTTTGGATAAATCACTTTGGGTACTGGACTTGCAGTCAGTAAGACCTGGATCCAAACCTTGCCTTAGACATTACGTAAGATCTTGGGCAAGTCACTTACCTTACTCAGCTTCCTCACAGGTAAAATGATGAGGTTGGACTCTATGGCCTCTAAGGACCCTTCTAGCTCTAAAGTTATGATCCTTTTAAAGGTGGATATTTACCTACGCAGTAATGTCTAGTTGCCATGATAATTAGATATGCATATAAAACAGAAATCAAAGATAGCTTCTAATTAGCAGGCTGCCTAAACTATAGCAGGAAAAAAAAAACTTCCAAGAAAAACATTTCTCATATTACCTACCTCAAACTTTCAAACATCACTTGCAATTTTCAATCAAGTAAATGTGTTCTCCCCAAGACCAAAAAGACTGGAGACTTGTCATTCTAGTTCACAAAATGAATTTCTTCTGAGAATAAGTTATTGTTTATTACAAGGAAGAAAACTTTCAGATCCCTCTAGAGGGGAGACAAGAAGGGTTTTTATCCTTAGCTCTTCTACACTTCTGGATGCTTCCATATCCTTGTGAAAAGATGATGGGAGAAAGGTAGAGTTCTCAGTTCACCTTCACTTTCTGCACTATGGAAATATTTTCTTTTACCATTCTTCTTTATGATGGCCATAGGAAAGATTTAAGGCACACTGACATTTTAATTTTAACTGTCATGTAGGTAAAAGTAAGGGACGTAAATGTGGGAAAATTCAACTCAACTTTTAAAAGGAAGAAATAGGAAAAAAAAAACTTCCCAACTTTCTGCTTTTAGAATTAAGAACAAGGTACAAAAAATCATTTAATAAATACAGGACAATAAAAATACTCTTTTCTATCATACACTGTCAAAAGAAAGAATAAGAATACATAAAAAAGAGAAAAATACTCTTTGGAATAAAATTCCAGTTTTGCAATGGAAATAATGCCTTTAAAGACACTTAAAGCGCTGTTAAATTTTCACAACCCAAAGCACAAATATAGTTCTTTGTATTTATGCCATGACCTTGATAAAGTTAAGTCAAGGACTAGACTTTGCTACCTTTACCTAGTAGATTAGAGCAAGAGAAGCTGTCTGCATAAAAATGCTTTCTCTACAACACAGGTAAATTATACCTGACATGTGCATGTCAGAGGATTTTTGAAAATTTAATTTTAAAAACAGAAATATTTGAAAATTTAAAAGAAAAGCCTATGTAGTTTTTCAAAACAAAAGTACGTAGTTTAAATTTAAGCTACCTTAAAACTCTGATGTCCACAAAAAATTTAATTTTTAAGTATTAAGGATAATACTAAATAACTTTTGATGAACTAAAATCCTATATTACGAACTTACTTGTATAGAGATTTAGAAAGAGCAAGCACAGAAATGCAGACCACCCTAACCCCAATACTACAGTAAATGTTCAGTCAGTGAAGAAGATCCCAAATATCTATCTTCAGATGGAAATGATCAAGTGTCTGCTTTTAGTTCGAATGAATAAATAATTGTGTTTTCTAACGTAATTGCAAAATCAAATCTATCACTGAAAGTTTATGCCTTCTAATACTCATAATTTATCAATTCTCATACATAGATTAGGATCACAGATTAGGTACTGGAGGGGCCCTTAAAGAACCTAGATACATAAAGTATTTACCCAAGGTCACTCATATAGAAGGTGGCAGAATGAGCAGGAGAGGAGAACAAAGGTCCCTCCAGATTAAGTATTCTTTCCACTGCACCACTGACTCTCCTCAAGAGGGAACATGGAACAGCAAAATGCTGAACTTTGCAATCAAGAAGATCTGGGTTTGAATTTGGTTCTGCCATTTACTAGCTGTCTTGGTATGGGCAAGTTACAACCTTTCTGAGTCTCAGTCATAAGATGACAGATTTAGAGCTTCAAAGGTTCTTAGAAGCCATCTACTCCAAACCCCTCATTTGATAGATGAGGAACTGAGGTCAAAAGAGTTTAAATGCCTTGCCTGTGCTAAGACAGATGGAATGTGGACAGATTTTCCTAATTCCAGCATTCTCTCCTTTAGACAGGATGAGGAACTCTAGGTCCTCAATTGTGGCCCTTTGCATCCAAACTTCACATGAAATTTGGATATGAAGTTCAGGTTTGTTCTTTGAAGGCCCCAGGTTCCCCACCCCTGCTCTAGACCATGCTGTCTTTCTATATTAATCTCCAGAACAGTTAGGCTTCACTGACAGATTCCCTGATGTACTGACCTTCTAAAAATCTTCTTTTAAAAATACTAAGCAGAATACTTTTAGAAATAGTATAAAAATATTCTTCCACTAAAGTCCTAGTATAATAATCTTATCCTTTAGAAATACTCTAAATGTATTTTTCCATTGAAGTCCTACTCTATGCATTACCATGTCAAAGAGATTACAACTGGGAAGACTTCAATACAGAATAGGGGCTGTAAATACTAAGGTTACAACAAAAAGACTGCATTTACCCTTGAAATGATGTAGGAGATCAAGCTTAGAATCAAGGGACCATTGATTAAAAGCTAGAAGAGGTTCTCAGAAGCCTCTTTATATAGCTGTGGAAACTAAGATCTGGGTCCAGATGTAGTAATCCTCAAGATTTTCAGAGGTAGAATGACACAGTGAAAAGCTTGAAAGTTTTGGAGTCAAATTCTGGGTTCAAATTCTGGCTATGCCATTTACTACCTGTGTGACTCCTAGGCAAGTCACAACTTGCCTTGGCCTCAGCTTCCTTATCTGTACAAGAGGGTAGGATTAGATGACCTCCAAGGTCCTTTCCAGCTACAAATCTATGATCTTATGATCCCAAATAACAACCTAAGGCTAACCAATCATTTACATACTTCCCCACATTGCAAACAGGAAGGCATACTTTCAAGTTAGAATGTAACTTATCTTAAACATCTTTCTATATGGTAGAATAAAGAAAAGTTTCTCCAGATTACAAAACTTTCCCCCATAATTCATTAATCTTTTTATAACTAGGCTTATACTGGCTTCTGAAAACAAGTTAATTTTCTATATTAAAAAGAGACTTACTAAATTGAACATAGGTCTAAATCAACAATATTTCAAAGTGTAAAGCTAGCCAACAGCAATCTCATGGTCAGCAGTTTCATTACTTAACCCATTTCCATTCCTGTTAAAAAATGAATATTCATTTACTATATAAATCTGACAGTTTACACTTAATCCTTTAACATGTAGTCTAAAGTATTAACTAAAATTATTTAAAAAGGCAAATTTTAAATACTGGTAAATTTATTAAAAGGACTGAGCTTAAAAATGTTAATGAAATTACCTTGGAGAAGAAAGCCTTCTCCTTTCTGGTTCTCTCCGTTTTCTTTCCACTGATCGACTCTTTGCTCTTCTACCAGGAGACAGAGTTCTAGATGGTGATTTACTTTGCTTGGATCTCCGATCATTAAGTAGTGGGGACCTACTTCGTCTTGATTTATCACGCTGTTTTGGAGATAAACTTTTTCCTTTAGGACTACGACCTGGTCTTCTACTTGGGGACCTATTTTCTTTCCCAGAGGAAGCATCTTTAGAGGGAGATTTAATTGGCTTCTTTTCTTTATCAGTCTCAGATCGTTTGGATTTTCTATCTTTGGATCGTGACCTTCTGTCTTTGGATTTGCTTCTTAGTTCTATGGGAGATTTGGATTTTTTTCCACGATCACGACTTTTGCTTTCATTTATAATCGGGGATTTCTTTCGATCTTTTGATTTACTTTTATCTTCTAATTTAATCTTATCCTCAATAGGGGATTTGGCCTTTCCAATTTTCTCCTGAGATCGCCTTTTAAGTGCTGGCGATTTTGATTTTCTTGCTTGATCTTGAGATTTGCTTCTTTTAGATGGACTTTTGGACTTTTTTCTTTCTTTAGACTTACTTCTGGTTGTTTTTTCTTTAACTCCTTCAACACTTCCCTTGCTTTTCTTTTTATCAGATCTATGTCTAGTCCGTTCTTTTGATCTGCTTTTGCTTCGTTTCTTTGAACTATTTTTATTGTCTACAAGTTCAAGTTTCCCCTTAGTGTTTGATGACCTAGCAGTTGATCTATTCCCATTTCTTGCCTTCTCGTGTATCTCTCCCTCTTCTTCAGAGCCTGACTCATACCCCTGCAATATTAGTCCCATCCCAGACTGAACTTTTCCTTCCATTAACTCATTATCAAGTTCAGCTTTAATCAAAGCTCTTTGTTTCTCCAAGTCTTCCAGCAAAGCTAAGTCATCAATTTTAGTTCTTTTTGCTGGAGATGCACCTTCTTTGTCAGAGGCATCAATAACCTCTTTTCGTTTATGTTTCTTATGTTTATGCTTATGTTTATGTTTTTTGTCCTTGTCATCTTCTGAAGAATGTTTATGTTTCTTGTGTTTGTTTCTATGTTTGTGCTTCTTTTTTTTGTGTCGACTGTGCTTATTTTGAGACTGGTCCTCCTCTGACACTTCTCCATTTTCTTCATTTATGCTCTTTTCAGAATTATCTGCATCTTCCATCCTATAAATATAAAATAAAAAGCTTAAAAATTCTATCATGTAATTATACAAAATGACTCATTTTAAAAATAATTTCTAGATATTACATATTTGAAAAGCACTAAGAGATACCATCAAACCAAAGTATTAATGATTTAGCACTTTTCTCAGAACATTATAATGCTAGCATTTATATAGCACTTTAAAGTATGCTAAGTGCTTTACAAATATTATCTCATTTAATCCCCACAACAAACCTAGGAGGTAGGAGCTATTAGTATCTCCATTTTACACTTGAGAAAACTAGAGGCATAGGGATGTTAGATGACTTTCCCAGGGATTACATAGCTAGAAGCATCTGAGGCCGAATCTCAAATCAGGTCTTCCTGACTCCAGGCCCAGTGCTCTATCCCCTGTGCCATACAGCTGCTACATATAAAGTTCTAGGCACAAATGAATTATATTTGAGATTAAGGAGGATTGCAAATGTTACCACAAATCAGTCCCTTTCAAAAAGAAAATCACGAAAAACTATCACCTCTCCCCTTCTACCTTCCTGGAGAGGGTGAAACAGATGTGCTTGTGTGAAGGGGAAAGATACCTCCCCCTTATCCTACAACTCCCATCCCAGCCTTTAATGGCTGCCTTGTAGACTTGAAAACTGAGAATGAACTTTTTAAAGAAAACATCCAGGACAGCAGTAATTATCAAGATTTCCTGTAGAAGCATATGGTTGGTTCATAGCAAATGCTGATATATGTTTGCCTCTTTGGCCTGGGTAATGTGAGTTCTTAAAAGTTGCCTGATAGAAAGGAAACACAAGAATTGGTATCTTGCTACCATTCTCCTACCCTCTGCTATCATAACAAACTATTCAGATGATGCAGGTGAGATGGATTGTAGCTCCCAATTGTTTCTTTTCTAGCAGTAATCTGTTGCTGCTGTTTGTCCTTCATTCTTGAAAAGGACCATGACATCAGGTAGGTGATATGAAAGTGAACTGGATTTAAGTGAAAGAGCAGTATCTAACAGGAGGCGAGGATGGAGCCCTCTAGGATGACAAGTGAAATTAGGATTCACCAGAGTAAGGTATAAGGCAATGTAGTATGCCAATAGTATTAAGACCTAGATTTGAATTCAGAGGACTTTGATTCAAATCCCTGCTCTTTCACTTACTGTCTCTGTTGTGAGCTGTTTTTTGCCATAAGTGAAAATATTCCTAGTTAATGCCCTAGTTATAGGAACCTTTTCTTGTAAGCAAGTCTCCCTCCAACCTTATGTAGGTTTATGGTGCTATCAGCTCTTACTGGGAACAGGAGAACATTCTTATTTTTTCTTTAATTGTCTTGCCACAGAAAACAATACAGGCTCTCTTCAGATGAAAAGTCTTCATGCCGCAAAGGACAGAGATTTGTGGTCCTTGATAAATATAAGGAGGATAGCTGGGAAACATTATGCTGCTATTGAAATAAACTCTTAATTAATTAGCAGGGAGAGGGGGAGGAAAAGAAAAATCTTAAAGAACTAAGGAGATGCCAGGAGAATAGAAATAAACAAATGTTATCCTAATCTTCAAAATGAGTAAAACTACAAACCACTGAGACTGTTTTTAACAGTTTATTAAGGTCATGAACATTAATCTAGGGTGAGAACAGATTCACCAAGCCCATACATAACATTATAAACAAACCATCAATTTTTGGATAGGATTACTAGACTAACAATAAATCAGAAAAATGCTACTCGGAGAATGTATCCTGATTTCAATAGGGTATTCAGAAAACTCAGGACATCTTTATAAACAAAACGAAGCTATGTGGACTGGATTATAGTACATTTAATTAAACAGATGTGTAACTGGTTGAACAATCATAACCAACGTGTATTATAGCTCAATGGCCTGATGTTAATCTTAGAAGGATGTCTCCTGTGGCATGACAGGGCTCTATATGGTTCAACACTTTATCAATGTAGTTAGGATTTTCAATCTGCCATGAACACAAAGGTAGAAGGGGCAGCTAAAACATTCAGTAAATCAAGATTCAAGAAGATCTCATAGTGCTATAACTCTAAGACCAAACAAAATGAAATTTAATAAGGATAAAAATATTTAGCAAGGTATATAATTACATATCATGCAAAGACATAGATAGTTATCTGTCTGAGCCCTTTCTTATACCACAAGTTCCATAAGGGCAAGGACTATTTTATTTATTTCAGCACTATCTGTTGAGTTGAATATTTTTTTCTGATTAAAAAATCCTCTCCATGTTAAGAAAAATTTATCCAAAAAAAGACCTAGAAGCATTTTAATGTAATTTATGCCATATTAACTGAAATACAGTGTCCATATATGGATGACAATAATTCACTGTATCGTGCACTGGTCAGACAAGTGTTGTGTTCAATTCTGGATGCCCTGTTTCAATAGGGACAGTGACAAAAAATATTTCAAGAGCTGTCATGTGGAAGAGAGAACAAACTTTTGTACCGACCAAAAGGGCAGAACTAACACAAACAGGCAGAAGTGAAGCAGATTTCATCTTAATCTAAGGAAGAACTTTCTAGCCAGCTTAACTAGCTGTTTAAAAAAAAAAAGAAAGAAAGAAAATATGCTATCTCCCACACTGTCATCAAGGTAGGTATTCAGGCAGAGGCTGGATAAACATTTTTTAGGAATGTTATCAAGATTCCTCACTAAGGAACTAAGATTATCTCTTTAAGTTCCCCTCCAAGACTAACATTCTATAAGGCTAATGTGTTTAAAATAGTAATATAATTAATCTGTTTGTTCTAGATAACTCTACAGCTCATAGTTATTTCAATATTTCAAAGATATTATCCATGCAGACACTCCATCCACAGAAATAAAGATAACAACTCCACTGAAACAAATAATAGGTAACAACTCTATGGAGATGGTATTTGTAAGGTGAAAAGTCAAGAGGTGGCAGCAACCAGGGGCTTTAGAGGTGGGGAACCTGCAGCCTCGAGGCACATGTAGCCCTCTAACTGAATCCAAACTTCACAGAATTTGTTCTGAAATTTGAATTCAGTCAAAGGGCCTCACTTGAGGACCTAGAGGGGTACATGTGGCCTCCAGGCCACAGGTTCCCCACCCCTAGGCTACATTGTTCCTACGGTGACAATCTCTTGCTGGGACTATACTTGAAATATCTTCAGCTTGGTAGAACCAGCCAAAGCTTGTGCTCTGTTAACAGTAACAGACCTTGAGGAGTGGGGGAGGGGAGAGAGAAGAATCTGTTACCTGAGTATCATGACACTGCAGAGTAGGACTTCAGTGGAAGGATTCTTTTTAAATAAACATATTAAGCCATCTGTGTTCTTCTCTATTACAGTCTGAATCTAACTCTACACAGATTTTGTTTTCTCTCTCAGAAAACACTATTTGATTTTGTATTTTCATTGTAAGACCATTTGCTTAGTCTAGTCATGGAAGCCCAAATTCATAGACAAAATTTGCACAATAAGAACAAATGTGAAAAATCTTGAAAATACTGTCAAAAGTAGCCACCTTCCTAGACTATCCAGATCCAATCAAATGACCCTTTTTTTTCTGTAAAGTTGTTTTAAGAGCTAGTAAAATTGACAATTCACTTTACCTTTGCCCTCTAAGCTCCTTAGAAATCCTATTTTACTCTTAAGGACACCTGTTTTTATTCCCTTTGGATTTTTCTCTCTTCAAGCTTAGTTTTAGCAGTTGACTTAGCTTCCTCTATAACTGAAAGACTGAGATCTTTGAAAGAAAGTTTCTTCAATTTCCTTCTTTCTACTACTCAAAACCTGTAGGCATCACCATTCGTTCTTCTCTCTTTTCTTGTTTCAGAAAAGGGAGTAAACCTACTCTTAGCTCAAACTAATTCTCTACCTATAGCTTGACTTCATCCCCTATCACCAACTGTGGGTCACTGCTCCAGTTATCAGAAAGAGCAAGATTTTAAGAGAGAAGCTTACTTCTGTATATTTTGAGTTTGACATATTGGTGAGGAATCAGGAATTTTTCCAGTGAATAAGCATCATCAAGGGACAAAAATTATGCCTTTCTCCCTGACAAAAAGGACCTAAAGCAAAATTACCCCCCTGTATTTAATATAGCTTAACTGGCTGTCTGGCTTTGTTAATAGACAAATTTTTAATTTTGCACAGTATTGCTGATGCCTCTTAAACCTTGTCCTAAGGGGCAGCTAGGTGGCGCAGTATATACAGCACTGGCCTTGGATTCAGGAGGACCTGAGTTCAAATTCGGCCTCAGACACATAACACTTACTAGCTGTGTGACCCTGGGCAAGTCTACTTAACCCCACTGCCTAGCCAAAAAAATAAAAAAAAAAACCACAAACCCTTGTCCTAGTAAGAGGCAAGGAACAGAAATTAAGCTTGTTTATAAATCTTAGTCCTAGTAAAGCAGTATCTACTTCAACTTAGAATGATCCATGCTGCATCTAGATCATAACAGCCCTCAATCACATCACAGCAACAAAGGGATTTCCTTTCCTTTCCTGGCATGGGGATGCCTTGCCTGTACTTAGAACCTTCAGGTGGTCCTAGTTTTTCTGGAAGTGTCAGGAATGCAGAAGTCTGTATAAACTACAAAGGGCCTGTACTGGCTGAAAAATCAGTTCTAGGTTGCCACTGATAAGTCAAAGGAGATTTGTTTCTTCAGTGCTAGTAAGCCAGGCCATATTCCTATCTAGCCTCCTAAGTTTGTATGGTGATGGTGAAAAGTTTCAACACTGGATTGGGATGGCTGAATTCAGGCTGTCACTAATTAAGCCACTATAAAATCAAGGGGTTGGACTAAATGGTTGGTAAGGTTCAATTCAGCTACAAAAAAATCCATTATTTCTGTAGTTATCAAATTGCTTTAGTGTTTGATATTTAAAAAAAAACCCAGATATTTTATCTTGGACAGTGAGTTTTGCATTTGTTGCCTCCTGATCTGGTTTTTGTTATAGCTGAGATATCCAGGTAATATCATATAAGACAAGGGCAAATATAGGTAACTGAGTCAAGATGCAGAATGAAAGATGCATTCTTGTACATGGCCAATATGTTGGTTTGTTCTGCTAAATTATGTACATGTGTCACAAATAAGGGCTTCTAATTGAGGGGTGTGTGGGAGGTGCTAGGTCAGAGTTGTGATAAATATACTCCCCAAAAGTGTAATTAACAGAAACATTATTAAAAGCAGAGAAAACAAAAAAAGCTTCTAAGAGGAAAGAAACAAGTAGAGCAGGTTTATTACCACCCTGTTAAACTGAAATACAGAATGTTTACACATATACGTAATATATACTTCTTTAAAAAAAAAACCACACACACAATCAAGATTCAATGTTTCTTAGGTAAGCTGCTTGGTTTTTTTTTTGGTATATTGAATTATGTATTTGCTGATGATTAAATAACAGTGAAAAAAAATTTTAAATGAAACTTTAGAGAAGCTGGGAGAGGGAAATGAGTTTCATTTTGGATATGCTAAATTGGAGATGAAAATAGGACATACAGATAGAGATGTTCAGTGATTAAGGACTGATTGATGTTCAAGGGAGACACTTGGAAAGAGCATAATGTTGCTAAGTTTGCCTGATGTGGTTACTCTAACCAGTTGTTTTTCTAAACTTTTTTTTTTCATTGTTACAAAAGAGTGTTCAATTCCTAAAGGAAAGGTGGTCTTATTGTACAAGCAAAATCAGTGTGTAAAAAACCAAAGGACCAATAAAACTTTAAAAAAAATACAGGTATCAAGCTCAGAAGAAAAAGAGGTAAAGCTCATATAAAGAGATATAGCTAGCTCTTTTCTGGCTTCAATCTTCTACTTCTTCATGGGTTTTTCTCCATCTGTCCATAAATATGCTCAAGTTTCCCAAATTCTGAAGACTTCCCCTTCATGGCCAAACTTCTTGGTTATGAATAATTTTCCTCATCACCAAACCCAGTCTTTATTCTCCTCAGACTCTCTAGTATTTGACACTTCTCTTTTCCCTTGCCATCAAATACAATGCTCTCCTATTTCTCAAACAGATGCTTCAATTTCCTTCACTTTCTAGTGCCTAGTTCTCTTCCAGACACCTTTTAAATATTCCTCCAAAGTATGTTCTTCACTTTCTCTTTCTTCAGATAATTTAATTAATCACTTGGATCCTTCAGATAAGTTATTTTGGATTCCCTTCAAAACTTTACTCCCAGGGCTTCAACTATTGCTTTTAGGCAATTTTCAAATCTGTCCTCTCCACTTGAACTGTCTTCTAAGCATAAGTACACTTTCAACTATGTATCTTATACCTCTCCACTAGGACATTCAAGTTACAACATCTTAAAACTAAACTTAATTTTCCTCCCAAATCCATTCCGATCAAGGGCATAAATATTCACTCAGCCTTCCAGGGTTTAATTACCTTTGAACATGAGAAGTAAGGAAGAGTTAATTCTACACTTAAAATCTTTCTCACATTCATCCCCTTCCCTAAATTTCCACAACTACGTTCACAATGTTCTCATAGTGAATGACTATGAAAGTAGCCTCTAACAGGAGTTCCTGTATCTAATTAGCTTTCAATTCTCCATCACTCAAAACATCCTTCATACTGCTGTCAAACATTATGCAGAAGAAGGTCATGCAAGTTCTCTGTCCCAGATCTTTCCTTGACTCCCACTGATTAATCTCAAAGGTTCAACTTCCTTAGCTTGTCATTCAACACACAATCTGGGGCTAACTAGTTTTTTAGAATTACCTCATATTAATCAACCCTTCATATTGTATGATCCACATAAACTTGACTATTTAACTTTCTCGTTTCCATGCCTTACTGTGTTTTCTATGCCTAGAATACTCTCTTCATCCTCTCTACCTGAACTTCTGTCCATCCATCTAAAGCAGGGCTTTTAAATCATTTTTAATGTCATGTTCCACTTCTCAGAATGCTTTAGAATGTATAAAATATATAGGATTATTAAGGCAATCAATTAAATTGAAATACAATTATCAAAATATTTTTCAAACAAACAAAAACAAGATCATGGATCCCCAGGTTAAGAACTCCTGTTTTAAAGCGTAACCCAGATATTCTCCTTCAGGAGGTTTTTCTCGAACTCCCTTCTTTTCTACTGAGACCTTTTATACAACCTTTGCTTCCATCTCTTTGGGCACCTATGCAACATTGTTTTGATCTTTTATGACCTAATTAAATATCCTACTTATTGCTGTGTGCCCAATCACCTTATTATTCTGTAAATTCCAAGACAGCAGGGGGCCTTGGATCTTTTTATCTCCCTTTATGTTTAATAAAGCGTTCTCTGCACACAAATGTTTAATAAATGTTTTACTAAATTTAAACAAGATTATTTGTCGACATTTAAAATTGTAGTTGGGTGAACAGTTTTCAAACTACTCAATAATAAATATTCACGATGTTACTGTTCCAAACCTAAGGACCATTAAAATGCAGGAATACTTAGGACATTATTTCCAAAACAGAAGCAGAGAAGAAAATAATCAGGCAGTGGGAAAATTAGTAAGATGCTACGATATGAGATCTCAAGACACCAGAATGTATGAAAAGTCTATAGGAAAGCTGAAAGACCATCAAAATATTAAATACTGTCAATTTATCCATAGCTTCTTCTAAAATTAAGAATAACATCCTCTTTTACATTTGCATCTTGGATTCTATTTTGAGGAAAGTAATTCTCTATAAGAATTTATTGCACAGAAAGTTTGTCTGAGTCAGAAGACCTGGAGTTCAAATCCTGCTGACACATGTGCAGCCCTCAGATTTTATTACATACTATACTACTACTTAATATTAAGACTAAATGAGATACTTTAAATATCTGTTGGTTCACCAGGTAAAAATTTTCCCCTGAAATGTTTAAGGAACTCAAAGTATGGCATAGGCTTTTGCCCTACTTTTACTTTATATTAAGGTCCTAGAGGGCAAGAACAAAACTTATTTATCTTTATATTGCCCCTATTACTCTTTACAGTACCTCCCACAGTACTTGGTTTCTTTGCACTAATTAATTCCCCATGCCTGGAAAACACTCTCTCATGCCAAGTGGCTTTCCTCAGTCCAGATTACCTTCCATCTATCTAGTCTCTACATAACTTGTATGTACCTAGTTATTTAGGTACTGTAAATACATAATACACTTTAGAATGAGAGCTCCTTGAGGGCAAGAACTGTGTTGAACTTTCTTTGTACTCCTCAGAGTTAAGCACTTAATAAATGCTTAACTGGTTTTCAAATAATTGCTGAATGATTCAAACAGAAATCTGAACCCCTCAAAAACAATTCAGTTATCACACAGTAGTTGCAAAACTTTTTCAGTATCCATTTCCTTAATTAGTTGATTGCAAGCTTTTGGACTGGTTAAGAGAAAAATAAACTTCTCCTAGCCCAAAGCATTCTTCTAGTTCCAGTTGTGCCACAAGTTAAATATGTTTGGCATCAACTTGGAAATCTGATTTCCTGTGTTAGATTAGAGACAGTTTTAAAAGACTGCTAACTATAAACTGTTTAATATTATAGCTGGGAAAAGTAAAAGCTTACTTTTAGGGACTCAGAACTGGGGTACTGATGTACAAAGGCAACTTCAGTTTCATTCCTTCCAGCTGAAAAACTTTCGTCTCCAACTTACAAATGTCAATGATACCAACTACATCCCCCCACCCAAGGCAGTTATACACCTTATTTGCAGCTTTTGAGGGGTGTGAATCACAAACTATTTTTAGTCGATGGACAAAAAACATATTTGCACAGCATAGCAATACTTTTTTTTGTATCTTTATTTCTTAAGTTACTAAGTACATTAGCTTTTCAACTATTGCGGACAACCCTCATTTTTACTAGATTAACTGCTTCCTCCTCCCATTCTTACAAAGGGTACAATACAGAGTCAAACTTCGAGGCGTTGAAACGGTAAGGTACCACTATCTTGCTACCTTAAGTTTAATTGCTGGTGATCAGAATGCCAATAAATGCGGGGAAACGTACTGGGTGGCACAAGGAGTTGGGTGGTCTTCCTCCCCGCTGCCATCTGCCAAAAAAATAGTCTGTGATTTAAGTTTTAAACTGAGCGATCAAAAAGTGCCTGCGCTGCCCTCCCCTCCCTGATCCTAAATCTCATTACACGGGGATAGGGTGACAAAAGCAGGGCAGGGTGCACATGGAAACAGCCACACATCGGCTCCTGGAACCCCGTCCCAGCGCGAGGCCACAGCAGCGAGCTCCCCAGCCCGCTTCCGGAGGGGCTCCTGGGAGGGGCGACGCAGGCGCCGGCCACGCGCACCGGACCTGTAGAGGCCGCTCGCGCCTGCGCCTCCCGGGGCAACGACGCGCGTCAGGCCGCAGTCGCCTCGGGCTCTAACAGCCACGGCCGGAGCAAGAGGGCTGCAGAGCGAGGCTCGCGAGCGGCCCGCCAACTCACCGCCGTCCTCCTGTCGCTGACACTGCGTCCTCCTCTCCCCACAGCATAACAGAAAAAGAGAGGCAAAGTTTGGTTCTCGCTCTTAGGCCTCAACTTCCCTTCCCCCCCATGCAGTTCATCCATATCAGCTCTCTGCTTCTCCTCCTGGGCCCTGGCCTTCCCGCCGTTACGCCACCGAGAATTATCACTTACTCAGGCGCTTCCCGCGGCGGCTGAGACTCCACGGCGGCCATTTTGAACTTCCCGACTCCTTGGCGGCAGCGGCGGCGGCTGCTGGGACAGGGGAAGGTGGTAGTTGGAAGGGAATCGTCGCGCATGCGCTCCGCCCGGAGAAGAACGAAAGGAGGAATGAGTCCTCAATAACAATCCGGATATGAAACCTTCATCCGGAGGGTGGAGCGTAAGGACGTCCACACGCACTTCCGGCAGGCTCAGCGGCAGCGGCGAAGTGATACGCTGATATCTCCCACGGAGGTTAATGTTCCTAGTACTTCTTATTTGGGGCAGTCATTAATTAGCTTTAAAAACTAACTTTCTAAACATTCTCGAAGGCTTTTGCAAATAAGCGTACAAAGAGGGCGTACTGTTTGCATCCCTTCTCTGTCCTGTTTCTCCTGTCCCCCCTCCAATTTACTGTCTCCAAAGCAAGAATTCAGTTCCCATGTTTTGGTATAGATTTGAACCAGAAATTCGAAATGCCGCAATTCCTGGCAGGTGTCAAGGAACTGTGATTTCGTAGGTGTGCTATGTAGCAACTTCGAAGATCTTAACCTTTTTTTGTCCTCAGTACTTTTAAAACTTGAGTTTGTAAAGTCTCAGAAGTTAACCGACCACTCTGAAGCCACACAGTAGTAAGTTTCTCTGGTAAAACTTAATCCTGGGTTTCTCAACCATGTAACAGCCTTTCAACGCTAAGCTTATCAAGAAAATAAAATTGTTTGCACGTTGGCTTATTCATAATTTATTATTGGGAGGCAAGGACAAAAATCTTTTTTGTGGAATTGTGTGTAGTATTAACTATCCAAGAAGGTAATAAAATAGATACCTATAAAATCTTGGAAGGTATGGGTAGGAAAAACGACTTTTCCACCAAATCCCAGAATGAAAAGATGAGAGGAAGGGAAGTAACTCCTAAAACGCCTTATTGTAGAGTCATGCAAGCTTTAAAAAACAAAAAAAAGAAAAGCCAGAAAAAAACTTTAGATAAACTTACAAATCCAAAAAGACATAAGGCAAAGTAGAGACATTTAGAGTACATCTCTGATTTTTTTAGTTTGACATTCACCATACCCTTCTACAAAGTTCTTGGTATCTCTATCAGATAAAGGATAAACTATTGTATAGGCCACTGATAGGACCTAGTCTGGTATTTCTTAGGTCTTAATCTTTTGATCAAGCCAAAGAGAGACCTTTATCTGGAAAAAGGATGGCCTAGAGGAATTCAAGATATATTTAATGAAAACTAAAAAAAGGAAATTTATACTCCTCTTGATTTCCATGACACTGATCTTTCTTGGTTCTCCAACTTCTCTCAGACTCCTTTTTTTCAGTCTTCTTTGCAGGGTCACTATCCAAGTTCTCTACACCATCAGTATGGTTGTCCTCCAGGACTCTGTTCTGAGCTTTTTCTGTTCTCATCTGCTACTGTGTGTTCAAGTGTCATGTTTGATACTCCCAAATCTGTATATCCAGGCTTCATCAGTCCCCAGCATTCAAGTGCCCCATCACCAACTATCAAATAGTCATTCAAGAAAGGTAGTCCTTGCTTACATTTTAATGAGGGAAGACAATAAAAAAGGAGCTGAAAAGGGATAAGAGGTATGCAGTAAGGGGGCCTGGTAGAGAAAGTGGAAAGTCATGGTAGAGAAAAGTCCTGCGGAAAAGAGTCAGCAGAGCAGCCTTGAGAGGAACTACAACTTCATATGGTTAGATAGCTTTAATTAGATATCTAGATATATCTACTGTATGGGATGTTCAGGAAGTCTAGCACCTCTGGTGTAAGGACTTGCCAAGCTCTTTTTAGGGCTGCTTGTCAATCTTTGGTATCTACCTCATTCACTCAATTCTCACCTGTGATTCCAAGAAGCTATAGCATACTTGAAAGCCACACCCTAGTAAACCATCTTGGCAGATGGGCTAAACCAAGTTGAAGGTAACTGACAGGCCTCAAACCTGTGAGTTAGAAGAATGTCTGCCCAGAGCATGTGAAGACTTCCCCCGGAGGAATGGCCAGAGGAGAACAATTTGTTCCAATGGCCATCAAGGCAGCTGAAGCAGGTGCTGTGAAGTACTTAGAGTTTGGTCAGACATTGAAGATGCCAAGGTCACGTGCTGCTTCCCAGGCTATACAGCTGGTTACCAAACTTTTGTCTTGCCACTGGACTTCAACAACTCGGGAAGAGAGAGTGAGGCTAACTTTGTAGCTCTGCTTCACAAATGACAAACAGCAATTTGAAGTTACCACTTCAAATTATTTATCAAAAATTGAATTTATTATCATCCCCTCTAAATCTGCCCTTTTCACACTTAACTATTTCTGTTGAAGGCACCATCATTCTTTAAATTATCACAACTTATCACTCTTCCATCTCCCCAACATTCAATCAGTTGCCAAGTCCTATCAATTTTACTGAACAACATCTCTAGTATCTGTTCCCTTCTCTCCATTCACATGCCACCACCCTATTTATCTTCTTGCTTAAACTATGGGATAATCTACTTGGTCTCCTTGTTTCTAGTCTCTCCCTTCTCTACTCCACTCAGCTGCCAAAATAATATTCCAAAGGCACAAGTCTAGCCATGTTATACCACAAACTAAGGAGAAGCTTCCATTCTTAGCTTTCCCTACCCCCTTCTCCCTATGCCTCCCAATGGGTGACTGCCTCCCCTAATCACTATTTCAGGAAAGCCTTGAGAAATGCTTCTCTTCTCTTCCTTCTCTCCTGGCATCTTTCATTGCATTCTTGGCTACTATGTCACACTATTGTCTCATGTTTGATACTCTAGTCTATTCAAAACCCCTAGATATTTTTCAGATGAATTTCTGTCTTGTATTGGTGATAGTGTTTGAATCCATGTGTATGACTTCATTGCAATTCAGGCTTTTTTTAATGTGATCTTTTTATTCTGAAATTAACAAATGAATATTTTCATATACATAGCATAACAGAGGATTGTGCATGAAATAGTATTTCTTCCTGCTTTTCTTTTAAATATATGTAATAATTCAACATATCAAGTCAATAAGTATATATTAAGTGTTTAAATGCAAAATAGTCCTTGCTGCCCTCAAAAAGCTTACATTTTAAATCAGGAAAGCTGAAAATGTACATGGGAGTGGGGAGAGAGGTCTGTATTTCTTTCTGGCCTTCTGTGTTACAGTTTAAAAAAATAGCTGCTTCAATGAACCTTTTACTTCCTTTCCTTTTGTTTTTGTTTGTTTTACTAGGCCACTCCTAGAGCAGTTAGGGGCACAATGGATAGAGTTTTGGGCCTGGAATCAAGGGGATCTAAGTTCAAATCAGTCCTCAGACATTTATTAGCTGTGACATCCTTGGCAAATGATTTAACCCTGTTTACCTCAGTTTCCTCATCTGTAAAATAAAGTAGAGAAGGAATGAAATAGCAAACCATTGCAGTATCTTTGCCAAGAAAACCCAAATCACCTCACAAAGAGTCAGTCATGACTGAACAACAAATGCTATTCCTGTCTCCTTTTCTATCCATCATACTTTCCCATTGGGGGAAAAACACTTTGTAAGAAATAATTCATAGTTAAAACAAAGTCCAGTATTGACAGTCTGATATGTCTTATTCTATATCCTAAGTACATTACTGTCATTGTCAGTCTTCCAAATATATGGGTTCATCACTACATTATTCAAAGTCCTTTTATCTTTCAAAGTTACCTTTCTTTACGTTATCGTTATAGTATAAATTGTTCTGGTTCTGCTTACTTCACAAGTATGTCATAAGTAAGTTACATACAAGTCTTCCCAGGTTTGTCTGACTTTATCCTTTAGTCATCTTATGGTGTAATCACATTCCATTACATTCATATACTATAATTTGTTAAGCAATTCCCCCAATTAATGCATACCCCCTTAGTTTCCAATTTTTTCTACTATAAAAAGAGCAGCAATATTTTCATATATAACCAATGGTAGTCAATTAGCATTGCTACCTAGTAGGCACACTTATTAGATGCCTATTACGTGCCAGGCACAGAGCAAACTAAGCAGCGGGGATACAGAAAGAGGCAAAAACAGCCCTTGTTCTCAAGAGCATACAATCTAATGAGGGAGACAATATGCAGCCAAATGTATACAAAGCAAGCTATATATAGGAAAAATAGGAATTAATTAACAGAGGGAAAGCACTGGACTTAATAGTCTAGGGAAGGCTTCCAGTAAAAGAAGAGATTTTAGTTGGAACTTAAAGGAAACTAAAAAGCTCAATAGTTGGAGTGGAGTTGGGAGAGCATGAAGAACAGTCTGAAAAAATGCCAGAAATGGAAAGATCAAGTGAGGCCAGAGTCATTCGTTGGAAGAGTACTGGTCGTGGAGTAAGAAATAAGACTGGAAAGGTTGGAGGGAGCTAAATTATGTGGGCTTTGAACATCAAACAGGATTTTGCATATGATCCTTGGAAGTATTACAAAATAAGTGCAGTTTATAGTGAGGGCCGGTGAGGGGCAGGGCAAGGGTGTGTGATGATCAGACTAGTACTTTTGGGAAATCTCTTTGGTGGCGAAATGGAAGATGGATTGGAGTGCATAGAGACTTGAGACAAGACCCACCAGAAGGCTATTGCAGCAGTCAGATGTGAGGTGATGAGAGCCTGCACTAGAGTGTTAGCAGTGTCAGAAGAGAGAAGAGGCATATTGGGGAAATGTTGTGAAGGGAAATCTACAGGCCTTGGAAACAGATTGGCTATGGGGGGGTGCGTTATGAGATAATGCAGAGCTCAGGGTGATTTCTAGTTTGTGAGCATGAAGGACTGTGAGGATGGTGTTGCCCTCTACAGTAGTGGGGAGGTTGGCGGATTAGAGGGAAAGATAATGAATGAATACATGAGTACTTTTGATCAAGCATTTTAACAGATATGTGAAAAGTGTCCAAGCTCAAAAGGAACTCAAAGTCTAATGAGGGTGAGAACATGCAAACAACTATGCACAAACAAGATATAGACTGGATCAACTGGAGATAATTTCAGAGAGAAGCCATTAAGATTAAGGAGGCCCCGAAAAGGCTCCCTGAAGGAGGCAGGTCGTTTGCTGAAACTTGAAAGCTTAGAAGGCTGCGGTGTCTTTGGGCTATACACCTGGAGGAGACATCAATCACCGGATTAGAGCAAGTACAGTTTCTTTCCATCGTAAGTTGAAAATAAAGGTTTTGTTGTGTAACAGTTCGACTCGCTTCAGATCCTTGAGAACTGTTAACTCTCCACTTCCACGCTGGCCTCTCCTGGTTCTCCCCCCGCCCCCTGGGTGAAGGCCCGCCTTCTTCCACACTCCCCTCTGCTGAGCTTACATGGGGATTGGAGTGAGAGTTAAGCGGCTGAGCCGAGCGCGCGCGGTAACTCCCGCAAGGCCCCTCCCGCGAGGCGCCGGAAGTCCAGCAGTGGGGGACTTGGGGAAAGAGAGGAGGTGCGGCCGCGGAGATACGTTAAGGGGCGTGGCCAAGAGAAGGGGCGGGGCGTCCCGAGCTGTCCCGGCGGGGGCGGAGCTAGGAGAGCCACCAGCTCGGGAGGGAGTGGGGAGTGTGCGGCTGTCGCAGCAGCTTGGAGGCGCCGGCCTAATCGCGCACGTGGGGGCGGGCCGGAGAGGCCGGGCCGAAGGAAGGAACAGGTGGACTAGCTGACGGGGAAGCTGCAGCCGGTATATCCTCAAAAAGGGAGCCGCGCAGCCCCAGCCCTGTTCCGCCTTGGGTCCCCCGGAATCGGCCAGGCTCGGCTCCCTCCAGCTGAGGTCGGCGGAGAGACTTCCCGCCGCAGCCGCCGTCCCAGCCGGCCCTTGCGGGAGCCCTCGCTGCGCGCCCCGCGCGGACCCCGCGGCGGGTGTTACAGTTAACGGCCTGTGGATGCCGCCCGCCGCGTCGGCCCGGCCGATCTGCTAGGTGAGTTTGGCTTGGGCTCCGGCGCCTACAGGTGGGGAGCCCGGGGCCCAGAGCGGGTGACGCAGATCGACCGGCAGCTGCACTGGGTGGAGCGGCCTCCGCTGGCGGCTCCTTGGCCACTCCGGGAAGCACGCGCCGTTGTTTGGTTTGATGCGATTGTGCAAGGGGCGCAGCTTCCCCTCCTCCAGGGCTCTGCCCTGGGGAGGGATCTAGATGGCCTCTCTGGAGACGCGGGGTCCTGGCTGTGCCACTTACTACCTTGCGCTGGCCGGAGCGCAAGCCTCCTGAGGGCGAGCTAAGGCTCGGTTGGTTTTTTTTTTGTTTGTTTTTGTTTTTGTCTTCTTGCCCCCGCGGGCTTAGCACAGAGCCGAGTCTTTGGCAGTTGCGCAACCTCCCTGGGCCTCAATTTCTTACCTCGAAGGAATTCATGGCTTCCTCATCTAGGCCAAGTGGCCAAATGAGTTCATTTCAAAGGCATAAGACTTGATTTCCTGAGGGATTTTGTGTCTTTGATTTTGTTTTAGTATTTTTTCAGACTATCCATGCTTATACTTATGTTACTTTAGTGTTAGGTAAACTCCAGGTAGAAATAGGGAAGCATTTTTTTTAGTTCCTTTCGGTCAACATCATTTAGCTGTCCACTACATACAAGATGAGGATATAAAGATAAGTATGGTACACAGGAGCTCCTAGAATTTTCAGCTGAAGAACACTTTAGACAACAACAGCACTCTGCCATTCTCATTTTTCAGATGAAGAAAAAAGACCAAAGGGAGGAGATAGTCTGCCCAGGATCACATTAGAGTTCCTGTTTTTTAAGAATTCTAATCTAGCCCTCAACACCTTTTGCCCATTAGAACTTTAATGTAAAGTTCCTCCAATGGCTTTCCGTTCACATTGTGAAACATAAGTACTTTTAGCTACCCCCACCAACCAAAAAATTATCATAATCTAGAGAGAAGAGATTGAAGAAGTTGTTGGGAAGGCTCAGTTAGCTGTATGGTGATGAGATTAGCAAGGATCTGGTTTATCTTGGAAGGGGCATCTTGTTCTGGGTAGCTGAAGCCAAGTAGAGCAGTTGATGGAGAGTGGAGTTAGCAAAGTCCAATTTCTGCCCCCTATAAAGGATTGGACTCTTTTCAGCCTCCTTGATTGGAGGTCTGGAGGACTGAGCATTAAACTTCCAAAGTTTTACCTTATACAGAAGCAGGGTTTTGATTTTCAAGCTCACTCCACTTTCCATCTGCAGCTCTGCTTGGTTTCAGCTCCATGGAACAAGTAATGCCCTTCACTATCCCTTCTCCCCACCCTTTCCCTTTTTACTTTTTGTGTGTGGTTGTCCTCTATTAAATTGTAAGCTCCTTGAGGGCAGGGATTGTTTCTTTTTATTACTTGTATTCCCAGTGCTCTTAGCACAGTGCCTGTCGGATTGTAGATGCTTAAATGCTTTTTGAACTGAATTGAACTACTTCAGTTCATCTTGAATTTTAAGTGCTCCTAACATTTCTTCCAGGAACTTCCACACTTTTATATACAGTTTCTGTTACCTGTTCTTGCTTCTACTGCTTCTACTTGCTTCTACTTAGCATCTCTAAGGTCTTTTCCAGTTCTAAAACTATGACCCTACTGACCCATTTCTTACTAAGCCCAGCCCCCTCAGTTTACAGAAGAGGAAACTGAGGCTGAAAAAGGTTGAGTGATTAGCACAGGCTTTATATATTCTTGTTCAGTCATTTCAGTCATGTCCAAATCTTTATGACCCCATTTAGGGGTTTCTTGGCAGAAATCCTGGAGTGGTTTGCCATTTCTTTCTCTAGCTCATTTTACAAATGAGAAACTGAGGCAAACAGGGTTAAATGACTTGCCTAGGGTCACATAGTGTCTGAGGACAGATTTGAACTTTGGAAGATGAGTCTCCCTGACTTCAGGCCCTACACTCTATTCACTTTGGTGCCTACCTACCTCACAGAGTTACATAACTATCAGAGGTAAGATTCAAACTCAGTTCTTCCTGACTCCAAAATTTTTCACTCTTTTTTGTTTGTTTTTGGTTTGTTTTTGGTTTTTGAAGGTAATTGGGGTTGTCCTTTGCCCAAAGTCATACAGCTAAGTAAGTGTCTGAGGCCATATTTGAACTCGGGTCCTCCTGCTCTATCCACCTAGCTGCCCCCAAATTTTTCACACTATCCACTACATCACTTCACCTTCAAAACAGAAGGATGAAATCATAAAGGCAAATTATTTAGCTACTCTGCCTTTGTCGGAGTACTCTAGATGTCTGGCTAATTACTACCAAACCCTCCCCCCCCCCCACCACTACCCCCTCATTATTACTGTGTCATGCTTCCATATCAGACTCATAGCCTGGTGGTATGTAGTGTACTCTAATGACAGTCAATTCTGCTTCTGGCTTAAGGTTGAATGTCATCTAAGTCACCTTTACTACACTTTCCACATCTCCCTCCTGGGTTTCTTAACATGAGTATACCTTATTATCCCAGTGCTGTTCTTTGCCTTTCTCTACCCTTTTTCCTGTTCACTTGCTGTTGGATAAGTTATAGCCTTCCAGAATCATATTCCAGTCATAAGACCCATCCCACTGAACATCAGTGTTACCCATTTTTACTCAAATTTGCATCCTTGCTTTAGTAACTCCTTTTTGCATATGTTTTGTTGCCCTATGCTTTCTTGGAATTTCTTTCATGGGAGATTGTGGCAGTCTCTACTATCATTCTTCCTACATTGTAGCTGCTCTCCATGGTATCTTGCTTGATTGATATATATGGGTAATTTTCTTCCTTTATCTTACTTTTCAGTTTATTAAAGACCTTTTGATTTGGTTTCTAAGACTCCAGGCAAGTAGAGTCTTACCAGCTCTTTTATTTTTTGAACCTGGCTTTTTAAAAAATTTTATTAATTTATTTGAATTTATCAACAATCACTTCCATAGGCTTTTGAGTTTTAAATTTTCCTCCCCAAGAAGGTGCGCAATCTGACACAGGCTATACATATAGATTCCTATTAAACATATTTTCACATTAGTGATGTTGTAAGGAAGAATTAGAACCAATAGGAGGAACCACAAGAAAGAGAAAACAAAACAAAGCGAAGGGAAAAAAAAAGAACAAATAGCATGCTTCAATCTGCATTCAAACTCATTTTCTATCATGAGACCTTTGGAGATGTCTTAGATCCTTGCATAGCTGAGAAGGGCTAAGTCTATCAACATTAGTCATTGCACAGTGTGGCTGTTACTGTGTACAACGTTCTCCTGGTTCTGCTCACTTCACTCAGCATCATCAGACCATACAAGTCTTTCTAGGTTTTTCTCTGAAGTCTGCCTGCTTATCATTTCTTATAGAACAATAGTATTCCATTACATTCGTATACCACAACTTGTTTAGCCATTCCCCAATTGATGGCCATTCCCTCAATTTCCAATTCTTTGCCACCACAGAAAGAGCTGCTGTAAATATTTTTGTACATATGGATCCTTTTCCCATCTTGATGATCTTTTTGGGATATAGCCCTAGAAGTGCTATTGCTAGGTCAAAGGGTATGCACACTTTTGTAGCCCTTTGGGCATGGTTCCAAATTGCTCTCCAAAATGGTTGGATTATTTCACAACTCCTCCAACAATGCATTAGTGTTCCGATTTTCCCACATCTTCTCCAACATTTATTATTTTCCTTTTCTGTCATGTTGGCCAATCTGATAGGTGTGATGTGTTACCTCAGAGTTGTTTTGATTTGGATTTCTCTAATCAATACTGATTTAGAGCATTTTTTCATATGACTATAGATGGCTTTAATTTCTTCATTTGAGAACTGCCTGTTCATATCTTTTGACCATTTATCAATTGGGGAATGATTTGTATTCTTATAAATTTGTTAATTCTCTGTATATTTTAGAATCACCAGCTCTTTTTAGACATAGTCTATCTTTGGCCAAAAGCCTGTCCTTCCCATGTCATAAGCTTTTGGCTACAAATCTACATTCCATTTTTAGATACTATGTTCTTAACCACTAGCTGTTTTCTTCCCAAATGTGCTTTTTCTCTCCTTTCTGAAGCATTTGCCTTCAATCATCAGTAGCTAGGAAGATACCACCTCTTCTTGCTCCTAAGATTTTAACTTTCTTTCCCAAGACTTTTCATTAAAGGAAAAACAAATTCATCTGTAAAAAGTGTCCAGCAAACCTAGTTTAAGATCATAGAACGCCTTGAGGTCTAAAACCCTTTAGTTGGATTTTTTCTTATTTTGAGACTGGGTTTTCCTATCTCCCTGAGGCAGGAAATACAATGGCCACTCATGGGCCTGCTTCCATTGCTGATTAGTCTGGAATCTCTGACCTCTGTTTCTTACCAGGTCTGGTTTGCCCTTCCTTAGACTGCCTTGTGACTACACCCACCCAGCCCTTCCCCAGCTGCTCATATTGATTCAGGAATTAGTGTGGATGCCCAATTGGCTTTAGCACCACTACTGCTCAAATCTCTTGGATTTAAATCATCCACCTGCCCCAGGCTCTTCCTGGGTCTTTTCCATCACTCTGCAACTTTGCTAGATTCTAATCATTTAGTATTTGGCTGGATTGTGTTTTATTCTAAAGAAAAAGACTAGTGCCAGTAAGATTTTGGTGGCCATGTTTTAATGTTTGAAATTTTTTAAATTAAAAACTTTGAAAGTAATTTTTCTTGACATCCCTGGGTTTTTCCCTATACTGTATCTCACCCAATACCATTCCCAAAGAACCATCCCTTTTTTTTGGGGGGGGGTAGGCAACGGGGTTAAGTGACTTGCCCAGAGTCACACAGCTAGTAAGTATCAAGTATTTGTGACCAGATTTGAACTCAGGTCCTCCTGACTCCAAGGCCAGAGCTCTATCCACTGCACCACCTAGCTGCACCCAGAACTATCCCTTTTAACAAAGAATTTAAAGGCGGGAAAGATGAAGAGAAAAAAAATTTGCAAAACTAATCAGTACACTTCATCCCACAAATC